AAGCAAGCATGTACGTTACACCCACATTCCTTGTTAACATGCCCACATTGAATGACAAATGATACAGTCTCCATAGAGTGACAATTATATCTGAATTATTCACATGTGCCTCTTTTGTCTGTACATTTACTTACAAATATGATATCAAATAAGGACCCTGCGAACAGCTTTGGTTCTACTCAGATTCCTTCCCACCCACCATTTCTTATAGCTATATAAGAGACTCTTATATCACGATATCAATGTAAAACTCAATCCTGAGTGCCAAAGCTGCTGTACTTTAGCACAAAACTTCTGTAAGGAACTGATTTTTATTTTACAAATTATACATCTGCTTAAGCGGTCCCTCCCTTTTGATTCCTCTGGGTCTGAAAGTGGCCCCATAAGTGGCAAAGGCACTGGACAGATGAGGACAACCTTTCTGGCCGGTTTAATTTAGAATACCCTCTCTATCTGATTGGCAGCATTAAGTGACCACTGCGACACGCTGTTCCTCAGTGGCCCCTGCAGCTTCTGCATCTGCCCTGGGCTGGCCTCTCCTGGTTGCTCGTGTTTCCTGGGGAGAGGTCAGGGTGAGCAGGGCGCAGAGGGCTGCAGGGGACGGGTTTGGGAGGGAGGGCAATCAGACCTGGAGCTCATCAAAGCAATTGTCACACACTCGGACAGGCTTTTTGGAGGAGGGCGTCAGGGTGTTGCGGGCAGAGCACTCCGCACAGAAGATGTTGCCGCAGTGTCGACAGTGGTGCTGGGGGAATAGAGAGACACAGGGGTCATGATTTAGGTCAGGTGGTTAAGTTAGTTTAATGTCACACTGATAGATAGAATGGAATGGATGTGACAGTTAGATGCTTGGATTGTTTGGGCTGGGTATTGGCACTGATTCGATTATAAAGATTTGATTCACACTTCCATTTGGTTCATTTGGAGAAATTCTGGTTCAGATATTTCTGGCTCAAACAACTTTGTGACTTTTGATGCACATTTTGGAAACTTTATTTATACATCTTATGTGTTTCCATCCATGTATTTTTATGTATGGAAAACCAAAATGTGAATAGAATTTCCTTAATGCAGATAAAAATGTATCACAAAAAATGGGATGGGAGGCACAATACAAAAAAAAACAAAAAAAAAACATGTTTAATATTATATTAGCTTATATTAGTTTAGTAAGTGAAGCATTATTTGTAGCATGTCTCCTAACCCTCCTGTCCTGCAGATCAGGCATTTATGTCAATAATAAAAATAATAATAATGTTATTATTATTATATTAACATTATTACTATTATGTGGAGCATTATTTGTAGTGTGCAATCTGTCCTGCAGGTCAGGCATTTTTGTGAATAAATAATAATCATAACTATAATAATAACATTATTATTATCATTACTAATATTTTTTATTAGTAGTATTATTATAATGAAGCATTATTTGTAGTGTGCCTTCTGTCCTGCAGGTCAGACATTGTGAATGAATGAATGAATGAATATTATTATTATTATATGCATCCACTGTAAAATATTGATGTTTTAAGAATTGATTAGATCATTCAAATGAACATTACTAAAAAAAAAGTAATACTTCACAATGTTACACTGGGAATGCTTGTTTCTTAGGCAAATATAAATATGACAGAAGATATGATGTGGATTTAAGAATGACTCATTGCCAATGACTTCCTGACAACAACAAACAGACGCTTTTGTTGGTGGAACGTGCTTTGATGCACCATGTCATGTGATCACAGTCCTTTGAACGCAGGCGCACGGATCAGTAGGTTAGATCATTAACATTGTATTGATCTCATACTTTGATCCATTCGAGCGGCTACCTCATCAAATAAGAATGTGAGCGTGTGTGTAGGCATGATGCAGACCTTTCTGACAGTGACAGAGAAACCCTTCCCACAAGCCATACAGTTCTGCACCTCGTGATCTTCCGCCCACTTTCGTGTGAGAGACTGCGACTGCTTTATCTGGAACAGGAAAAAGGGGCCACATTTGACTAAAAACTGAAGTTTACTTGGCTAGAGATGCAAAACAACACCAAACCTGAATTGTAAGGTCAGTAATTTCAGTATGTCTGGTGTTGGTGTCAGCCTGACCTGTAAGGACTGGTTCTCCCGGCCAAGCTCCTGCATGGCGGCTGTAGTGTCATCCAGCTTCCTGCGCATCTCCACCAACTTAGCCTGAAGCTTCTCGATCTCACCTTCACCCTGGACACACCTGGAAAAGGATCAAATTGAAAGTGATCATCACTTTTTCTCGGTTTATTTATGCCCAAATTGGTCTAGAGCCATCAAACCTCTCCAGCAGTGCGCGTCTCTCATCCTGGTTGTTCTGAACGGTGGCCTCCAAAACAGCGATCTCCCCTCGCAGTTCATCCGTCTGTTTCTCCAGCTCGCCCACCCGCCTCTGGCTGCTCTGCCACTCCCGCTTCAGCGTCGCCATGTTCTCGTTCAGTGCCGCCACCTGCATAGACATCTTCACCTCCGCCTCTTCCCTCTGGTTCTCCACCTCCTCTTTAGCCTTCACTTCTGAAGCCTGAGAAAGGAAGAGAATGTAACTTTTCTGTGGAAAATTTTAAACACATTTTTGCTAAATAAGTCAGCAATTGCTAATCATTAATATTATTATCATTAATAACAACAGTAGTAATAATAAATAAATCAAGTTGATATTATCAGTACCAGTTGCTGTTGTAGTTTGTCCGTCTGAGCTTTGAGCTGTTGCTGTTTTTGTTTGATGGAGTCTCTGGTCTTCTGATGCTCTCTCTGTTCCTGCTCCAGAGATGCTTGAGCTGCCTCCACCTTCCCCTGCAGCTCCACCTTCTGCTGGATCAACAGCTGCTTCGCTGCCTGGAGCTCCTTCAGCTCCTGTGAGAGATATACAAACAATTCTGTCAGTTATAAACATAGTTGGATGTGAACCTGTAACGCTTTGGGTACAAGCCCAGATCATCAAACTATGCTACACAATTCATGGTAATCCAAAAGGCATCAAAATACTTAAGATAGTGGACAATGAAGAACAATGATATGCCATTTAAAGGTGTACCACGTTTTTTTTGTTCATGTTTCAGTTTCCACAGCAGCACGTCTGTTTTCAACATTGACAATATTAAATGTTTTGTGAGCAGCAAATCTGCATTTTAAGACGATTTCTAAAGAATCATGTGACACTGATAACTGGAGTAATGATGCTGAAAATGTAGTTTCACCATCACAGGAATATACAATACATTTGGATATTTTAAATATATATATATAAAAAAACCTGTTATTTTAAATTGTAATAATATTTCACAATATTACTGTTGATCAAATAAGTGCGGCCTTGATGAACATAAGAAACGTCTATAAAAAACATGAAAAATCTTACTGATCCCAAACTTTTCAATGGCAGTGTATATTATTTAAGAACAGAAAGTTCAAAAGAACAACACATGTTTGACATAGAAATCTTTTGGAACATTACTCTTCCTTACTCTAACACTTTTTTTTATTATCATTAATACGATTATTAATTGTGACACAGTCTATTAAATATTTTGTATACTATATCATTTAATTATTTTTTAGCTATTGTCAGCTCTATATTATATTTTATTATTTCCTACATACTAACATATATAACAAAATAAATAACAAAAATACAAAAAGGCCTATTTACACTGCACTGACAGATGCAGACAAATGGCAACAGACACATTCGCCAAGTTTTGTTGGATCAGTGTGTTGCCCCGTTAGCGTCTGTTGGCATTGGTCAGTGATTATTTTCGCCATCTGAACATGTTGAATTGGCATTTGTCGGGTCTTGGAATGTCTTAGAAGTGACATACTGGAATCTCAGCACTATTCATTTTGGGTGAACTATTCCTTTAATACTGTCTAGTCAATCCTTCAGACAAATCAATGACTAGCCATTTTGGAAAAAGTGTTGTTTTGCATATCCTTACTATTGACATCATGATAAAAGTCCTTGAGGGAGTTTAACTGCTGCACAACTATTTAACACATCTGACCCAACAAGTATAACATTTCTTTCGTCTGACACATGCCAAGGGAAAGACAATTTACAAACATACCCAGAGGCCATGTACTAACTTCAGTTCATAGCATCACCCCTCCTAACGCCACACCCGCCAAAAATTTCCTTCCGCATCCACATTTCATTCATATTTAATCAGGACAACAGATTCACAAATGATGTTAGAGAGAATGCATGCTAGATCATATTGTTTCATTCAGTGTCTCATCCTTTGCTTGCTATCAATTACAACTTTGACTCCCAACTAAGTCATTTGCACTGGATTGGTAATTTGATTTCAGGAGCTCTCTCACTTGATTTCCCTTTGCCATTCATTTAATTTCACAGGCCCCCATCAGCAGATAGCACATGCTGAGACACCTATCTCCCAGAGCTAATCTCAGCAGCCTGGATTAAAACTGAGAGCTTCATTCCTCTGTCACCATGGCATTATGAGCAACTTGTCATTCATCTTGACAATTCTACATGGTTTGGCTTTTGAATACTTTGATACGGAGTTATTTTTATTATTTTAATTACTATTAACTATACATTAATACCTGATTTTAGGTGTAAATAAATATTATAATGTATTGTTCATTAAATAGTAAGTTCTGAAGAAAGAAAAAAAAAGAAAAGGAAAAGAAGAAAACACACCTACATATCAGTTGAATTGTATATTAATAAGTCTGATTAAAATTATAATCAAATGATATGCTACTAATTATTCTAATTTACAGCATTTGATCATTTAAAATCTTTCAATTAAAACTGAAATATTCTGCTATTTATGTATGTATATGTATGTATGTGTGTATTATTTATTTATTTATTTAGTTGGTAAGTAAGTATTTTGTCATATGCATTTGATGGACATCTTGGACATCTCAGTTATTTTTCAGCATTTTATTTACTATTGCATTAATACCTGCTTGTATTTGTAAATATCGTAATCTATTGTTCATAAAATAGTAAGTTTTGTTGCTAAAGTAATTGGATGAGCCAAATATCAAACCATTGTTAAAAAAATGTCTTTATGCACACATGTAGCCACGTATCGATTGAATTGTGAATTAATACATTAGTTAATTCAAATTGTAATCAAATGAGATACTAGAAATTAATCCAATTTACAGCAATCAAAAAAAAAAAAAAAAAAAAATTATTAACCTAAAACTGAAACATTCTGCAATTTTGTATATTGTTGACTTATTTGCATATGCATCTTATTGACATCTTTAGCCATTGTGTCGCATCTCTGTGATTTTATTTATTTGTTTGTTTTTTGTTTATTTTTAGCATCTCACAACAAATGAATTAGTTACAGCTTCCATTCTGATGCAACAGAGCCGTTGTCACCATCTCAGCATGTTGAATAAGAATTAGTGAAGCACAGCCTGAAGGATTGATTGAACTGTAGCCTCTGGAAGATGATTTGCAAGAAAAACACTCCAGTGATCTAATGAAGGGAATGAAGTGATCAGAGTTGATTTGTTATCCTATTGTTATCATCAAATTATTATATCATCAAGAAGTCCCCCTTTTTCTTTTCTTTTTTTCTCAATGACTTTTACCTTAAATCAAGACCACCACTTCTATTGCACTTTGATCAGAACATACAGTAAATGTTATTTCCATATGCTAGTGGTTGGGAGCAGAGCTATTCAAGCCATATTCAAAAGTAATGGGGATTAGCATTGCTGATACAAGACATTTACATTTAGAGACCATATTGACGTATTGTGCTCCATACAATTTATTCCTTAAAATTTCTTTACTTGGTCTTACAAAGTTCAATTTACCTTCATAAAACCTGAAGAAACCCTATTTCACTGTATCGACAAACACAGTTATAAAGAGAAATCAAATACTTACAAGTTTGGAATGACACAAAGGTGATGACAATTTTCATTTTATGGTGAACTATCCCTTATAATACACATTTGACATGTAGGTCATTCACTGCATTTTATGACTAGTTTAACAATTAAAACATGTCATAAGAAATATTACGTTGTTAACGCCATTATTCTGTCTTGGTACAACTGTCTAAAAAAAGGAGCAGAACAATCGCAAGAAGTTAGTCTGCTCTAATGATGTCAGACTAGAGAAAAATCATCTTATTTAGCCAAACTTTAAGCCCTAAGAGCACATGACTGTTTTACAGACTAGCTGGATCATTGACTGCAGGCACCTCTGCCAATTTATAAGCCAGACTTCACAGAAAGCCGTTCCAAGGTGCAGATAACTCTTGTACTCGCACCATTAAAGGCTAACTAAAGGTAATTGCATCTGTATACACTGTGAAAGCATTCCCTTTAGCACCGAAACGAATATAGTCTTGATTGCTAAGCTAATCTGCTGTAGTATCATAACATTCCTTGGCATCAATATGTAGGTCAGGCTAAATGCATTACAGAATCATTTGGGTGATACGGAAATGAGATACCGCACAAAGTTGTGCTGTAGAACAAATACAGTCAGATTATGAGAAAATACTTCTGTTTGTGTATGAAATGAGAAGAGAAATCATAAAAAGTGCTTGTATTTGCATTAATATTTGCTGTGCGGATGTACCATTCAGTACAATTGGATGAGATGAGAGAAATGGATGTACCAGAGAAGGAAATAGAGAGGCCCATAATGCCACCCTCTAAAAGAAGACCGCCCACCTACATACCCACCCTCAATAAATAAAAACAGACTAAACCGCATTTGTGGCATAATAAGATGCAGTAATTAATGCCATCGATTCACATCCATAAGGATCCCGGCGCAGGGAATCCGATTACTTTTTATCACATTTCAAAACTCCAAGTTAGTTTCAGGAGCCGGTAACTTGGTTAGTGTTGGGCTGGAGAGGGAATGAGACTGCTGCTGAGCTTGATTGATGAGAATGCAGCAGGCAAGCTATTAAAAAACCAGTAGCTTTCATATCCAAGACAATGGCTATAAACATATTCTGAGAGCTGCATCCAAAATGACTCCTTTAGAGAGAGAAAACACTTCATCGCCGTAAACCTGCGGTTTATGGGATGTTCAATACATGAGTTCACAATATAACCGTCTTTGCTGTCACTCATGTCAATGACAAATAGATATTGTGTATATATAAATTATTCCTGTTGGCCTCTATTATTATTTGGAGATTGGGAATGCTGAGTTCAATGCAAAAGAGTTCAATGTAAAAGAAGCATTATGAATGAGCTAGTGATATTTTAATTATTTAGCAATCAAATGAGGTTCACATTTAATCGCTTGACAATGATACAGGTTTGTTACAGGCGTTATGGGCTTTTTGTAAACAATGTGATTGTTTAAATATTAGGAGGCTGTTAAAATTATGTCTGTATTGTATTATGTATGAAAGGGTGCACGGGAAAACACGCTAATGAGAGAGATGATGAAACAATGGAAAAAAAAAAAAAGAACGCGAGAGAGAGAGGAGAATAACTCAGATTTTAATTCCAGGTGTTTTCTTTTGGCTATAAGCCCACATTTTCTCTTTGGAGTCTATGAGACCCCAATGATATTTTTTGACAGTTTTGATGTGAATTCAAGAATTCAAAGAGGAAAAAAAGGTTACTTTTAAAGTCAGTCTCAATTAGGGATGCACCGATACCACTTTTTCCAGTACTCGCCCGATACTGATACTTTTATTTTTGGTACTTGCTGATACCGATACCGATATTTTTATTGCATTTTTACATTTTGTAAATATTGGTTACAGAAACCAAAAGGGTATGTATAATGTTAGTTGGTTAACTTCATTTATCAAATAGATACAGTCAAACCAAAATGTATTCAGACACCTTCAACATTTCTCACATTATATTCGCTATAGTTT